GAAATGGGGGAAACAGAGCGGTAACTCATGAGACGACCGGTCGGGTCGTCACAGTAAAAGTCCGTGGACTAGTTCACGAGCCTTATCGATCTGTGCTGTTATTATAAAGGGAAATTTTCGTTCCTATACCATATAGGAAACTATATTACCAAATATGTTCATAGTTTGCATATTACCCTTCATGCTAATAGTATTTCTACAAAATATAGACAATTCATTAAATAAGGAATCATTGTAGCTGTAGGCTTCCTTATTTAGACGCGCTAAAATTGGGGGATTAAATATTCTTCCAGATCTTCCACAACGCAAATCACGCACATTAATCTTCTTCGCCAGTTTTGTTTCAAATTTAGCGTCTCAGCTTTTTCGATACACTGTGTTTCAAACTTTTTTCTGATTTCACAAATCAAAAACGACTAAATCTTCTACAATTCTTCTACATCAAATGCAATTATGTCCAAATTTCAGTAATACAAAGCAAAGAAAAAGAGAGCAGCAATTCCACCATTGACAGCCATTAAAAATCTTTGAAGCTTTGAATTCAAATTTGGATTTTCAAAAATTATTATTTGTTTGGATTGGGTGTTGCTGCAAATAATTGGGAATATGCTTTGGAGTTTATATCTCAATTTTGAGGGGTTTTGGTGAAGATTAGCCTTGGTTTTGGCTGAATTTCGGATTGAAACTCGAAGAAGAAGAAGAAGAAGACATGAACATACATTATATTGCAGAAATTGTAGATAAATTGTAGAAAAATTATATTCTGTTGTTTATTTATTTTTCTTTTATTCATTTAACTATTGTATGAAAGTTGAACAACATTGTATAAAAATTATATTTAAGTGGTATTATATTGTAGTTGTATATAACTTAGTAGAAATGAGTACGGAAATTGTAGATAAGTTGTATAATATATAATTAGTTGTATGAAAATTGTTTTTACTATGTATAAATCAGATACAAAATATACAAAAGACATATTGTATAAATTTTGTATAAAATTTGTATGTAAGTTTTATGTTATTGTAGTTGTATTTCACTGGGTGGAAATAATGTGTAAAAGTTGTAGAAAATTGTAGATAAGTTGTATTCCTCTATAACGGGAGATGTTGGCATATCAAGTAACTTTAGTGTTCCAGACGAACATGCTTGAAAATAAAGATAAATTCTGTTATGAACAGTTTGTAGAAATTTTGTAGATAATTTGTAGAAACATTGAAATTCTGTATTTTCATATTAATTTTTCAAATGATATGCAGTTTTATTGTAGAATAAATGTAGAAAACGAGCCATTGTGAGTCTTATTTGACTCATTCCTCACATTCAACCTATTTTACAAATTCACGCCTCTTTAAATACAATACAACCATACTTTCTTGAATTTAAAGGTATAGCAATATATATAACTTAAAAAACATCTTCTCCTCTGCACAAGTTAGCTCCTAAACAGACGAAGTGGAATAACAAGCTCCCATCAAAACTTTTAACACAAAAATACAAAGCTCAAATTTTATGTTATTGTAGTTATATTTAACTAGGTGAAAATAATGTGTGAAAGTTGTAGAAAATTGTAGGTAAGTTGTATTCCTCTATAACGGGAGATGTTGACATATCAAGTAACTTTAGTGTTTCAGACAAACATGCATGAAAATAAAGATAAATTCTGTTATGAACAGTTTGTAAAAATTTTGTAGATAATTTGTAGAAACATTGAAATTCTGTATTTTCATATAAATTTTTCAAATGATATGTAGATTCAACCTATTCTACAAATTCACGCCTCTTTAAATACAATACAACCATACTTTCTTGAATTTAAAGGTATAACAATAAATATAACTTAAAAAACATCTTCTCCTCTGCACAAGTTAGCTCCAAAACTGACGAAGTGGAATAACAAGCTCCCATCAAAACTTTTAACACAAAAACACAAAGCTCAAAAATATATAAACAACAGTCTACAATTTTTCTACAATTTATCTACAATTTCTGCAATATAATGTATGTCATGTCTTCTTCTTCTTCTTCTTCTTCTTCTTCTTCAAGTTTCAATCTGAAATTCAGCCAAAACCAAGTCTAATCTTCACCAAAACCCCTCAAAATTGAGATATAAACTCCAATTACAATAACACCCAATCCAAACAAATAATGATTTTTGGAAACCCAAATTTGAATTCAAAGCTTCAAAGCTTTTTAATGGCTGTCAATGGTGGAATTGCTGCCCTCTTTTCCTTTCCTTTTATATTACTGAAATTTGGGATTGCGAGATAGAGAGAGACGTAGAGAGAATTCTCAAGTCTTTGCAACAACATCCAATCCAAACAAACAATGTCTTTTAAAAACCCAAATTCGAATTCAAAGCTTCAAAGCTTTTTAATGGTTGTCAATGGTGGAAGGATTACAGATTTTCGCTGGTTTTAGAAGAGGAAATCGTGGGGATTTGGAGAGAGAAACTTGGGGGAGTGGGAATATACGTTTGAGTAAAATTAGGAGACTAATTAATACAATTAAAATCCTAAAATGGTACATAAATGGTAATTAGGTATATAGAAGGTAATTATATTAAAAGTTAAGCATGGATGGTAATATAGTTTACTATATAGCATAGGAATATAAAAATTCCAATTATAAATATATCTTCAGTGTATTGATCAAGCAAATAAATATGCAACTTTATGTCCCACAAGCATATTTTCCTAATTTCAATAAATACAATATTTATCAAATTGTTTTAAATAGGACAACTCGGTACACAAAGTATTTTGCATTCATGCAGGAGCCGCAACAGGTAAAGGGCTAAAAATCCCTTTTTAGTTGTAAGGTCATTCCTTTTTCTATTTTTATGTATAATAATAAAATAAGATTTCATTAAAATTAATTGGACTGCTCATTGCTCCCCGTGAGCATGATTAGCTTGTAACGCATTCAAAGGCAAAAAGATTAGCTTTGTCCTAATAAAAAGTCCAAAGCACTTAGATCTTTTCTAAAGCCAGTTGTCACACGTGTGGCATTAATCATTTTAAGCACTAATAGCACTCCTCTATGCAATCATTCACTCCATTCTTCTGCTAAATTAATAATATAAACCTTCCCCTTTCCAATATCAAATATTAAACACCCGCCCCTATCCTATATCACTCAACAGAAAACAGGGAGAAAAGTTTCGTCCCTGATCAACCCAAAAAATGATAAAATTGATTTTGGGCAATAATTAATTTGGCCAAAATAAATTAATCAGTGGAATCGAATATAGAAGGTATCAAATAACTCTGATAGTGAAATAGTAAATACATAAATATCTCGTAAAGATTAAACGTCCCCTTCTTCTAATGCAACAGATGAAATCAGTTCTCTCTTTTAAAATTAAGAAAAATGAATCGCTAAAATGGGCTTCTTGAAAAAGAGACTGCTTTAGGTGGGTCAGCCCGCTCGTGCGATCATGAGAGGTTAGGCCCATACTCTTTGGCCCACAAATAAAACAACGCTCAACAAATATGGTCTGTGTCAATTGTATTCGTAGGCGACAGGCGACGAAAATAAAATGCTTACGCTGAGAGTCAAACTCAAGACCTTATCTAACTAAGTGGATACTCTAACCAAGTGAGCTATGAGAGCTTGTTGTCACTTTTTTTTTTATGTATTTGCTATAAAATTCAAATATAGCTACGATGATAAATTTGCTAAAAATATAGCTATGAATAATAAATACAGTGTATATATTTAACTTATCACGTAATTTTCCCAATAAAGAATTGGGAATAAAGGAGGGTACTGTTACAATACCACTGTAAGATTGGTGAGGAGGGGGTAAATGGTATTTGCTAAAACTTATGGTATTTCCTTCTCTAATGTCAAAGGACGTAATAATAAATATTTCTATATTAGAATAATTTGTTTTACCTTATTATGTATATGTACTCAATATAATTTCTCGATAATGAGATTGAACTGTATTCTCTTCAGACCATATAACTCCTCCTTTAGTTCCAAGATTTGTAATTAAGGAGGCCATGTTTTTGTAAAATTAACATAAAAAACAAAATTTTCACGTACAATTTTCTCGAGCCACTGAAGGGCGCTATATACACTTTCAATAATCGGCGGAACCAAAATTTTCACCAAGAGGTGTCAAAATATAAAAAAAATAGATACACCGAAAAATTTAGGGGAATCAGCGTATAGTAAATATACATAAAACAAAAAAAATCATCTAATAATACAATGTAATTTTCCGACAAAGGGTGTCAGATTTCGACACCCCTTGGTTGAATGAGTGGCTCCGCCACTGCTTCCAATGGGTTTTTGCTAAAGTTGCAGATATTTGAAGGGTAAATAGTTAGGGGATGATATTGTGACTGGAGGAGTGAGGGTGTTAATTAGGACAGTCAGATGATGCATAAACTGAATGATTGCGTTAATTAAGAACCTTTTATCCTAAATTAAAATCATGACCACTAAGTTTGCTTTTTGAGATTAATCCACATTAAACGTTGTCCAACCGACAACCAATCGCTAATCTTTTGTAAACATTTGTAAATTTTTTTTTTTTAGTGAGAATCAAACTCATATAAGAAATTTTAGTAGGAAGCGATTCTCCTTTAATGAATAATATGCGATATGAATCTACATTAATCGTGCCGGCGAATATTGAATACCAGATGACTACACAATTGTCGAATTTTTACTATACTCGTTCTTTTACTAACATGGTTATTTCCATCACTCTCAAAAAAAAAAAAAAAATTTGTATCCATATATAATTTTCTTCTTTTGCTTTTCTCCTTTCCGTTCCCTTTTTTTTTCCTTCTATTTTCAGCTAAGTTGCGTTGAAATAATAATGTTCAATCTCAATCCTTAGTTGGCCTAATAGGAGACCCTAAGTAAAGGCATCTTCGTTAGGTCCATTCACGGGTAACCCTATCATTGCTCCAATACCAAATTGAATAAAAAACTATAAGTAAAGGGACTTTTTTCAAATTAAAAAAGAAACTATCACTGCATTCTCCTTTCTATTTATATATATAATTAATAACCTGGGCAAATCTCATTCCACACTTATTACTTCACAACTCTCACTCCACAGTCCATAGCCATGGCTTCTGAGAAAGTTGAGACTGTTATTGCTGGAAATTACTTGGAAATGGAGAGAGAAGGAGAAGAAGCCAATTCCAATAACTCTGTCAAAAGCAAATTATCCAATTTTTTCTGGCATGGTGGCTCTGTTTATGATGCATGGTTTAGCTGTTCTTCTAACCAGGTTATGATTTTTAATGTTATTTTTATTGTTTAACTAATTTATCACGCATTCAGAATTTAAAATTTTCGGTTTGGATGATGAAAAATTAAAATTAGGTTGCTCAAGTGCTACTTACACTGCCATATTCATTTTCACAACTGGGAATGATGTCTGGAATTATTTTCCAACTCTTCTATGGGTTAATGGGAAGCTGGACTGCTTATCTTATAAGTGTTCTCTACGTTGAGTACAGAACTAGAAAAGAAAGAGAAAAAGTTGACTTCAGAAACCATGTAATTCAGGTAATTTTATTGTTATTGCTTTCCCTCTATTTTCTGGTTATTACCTTGCTGATGTTTTCTTTCTTGCTTACTCTGATATTACTGTGCCACTTTCTCTTTTCATCTTTTTTAACCGAGCGTCTATCGGAAATAGCCTCCCTAGAGGTAAGGTCTGCGTACACACTATCCTCCTCAGACCCCACTTGTGGGATTCTATTGTGTTGTTGTGTTGTTGTTGTATATTCGTAAGATGATAATTTTATTTATAAATATACCTGAATTTACTGGTCCAATAAATTTATTGCATCAATTCATTTAAAGAGAATTATTTTTCTTTGGATTTTCCAGTTGTCCTTAATTCTTCCTTTCTATATATCTTCATATCTGACTTTTGCAGTGGTTTGAAGTTCTTGACGGACTACTAGGAAAGCATTGGAGGAATATTGGTCTCTTTTTTAACTGCACTTTTCTTCTATTTGGATCAGTCATTCAGCTAATTGCATGTGCAAGGTAATCAATTACACAATTTTACTAGTATTTTCCATGTGGTTTCTCAGTATTGTGAATTATGATTTATATATGTCATGTTCAAATTAAGATTTGATTAAAGTAAATGGATAAATAATCAGATATAGTATTTCTTTAATTTAAATAGAAATGGTATAATAAAATATTATTATTTAAGCGTTTTTTTTTCTTGATTGATTGCAGTAACATATATTATATTAATGACAATCTTGATAAGAGAACTTGGACTTATATATTTGGAGCTTGTTGTGCTACAACTGTGTTCATTCCTTCATTCCACAACTACAGAATTTGGTCATTTATAGGCCTTCTCATGACAAGTTATACTGCATGGTATCTTACCATAGCTTCTCTTCTCAATGGACAGGTATTTTTTAATTTTTTTTCTTTTAATTATGTTTACTAACAAAAAGGTCATACTAATTAATACTCCCTCCGGTCCACTTTAATTAATTTTTGGCCTTTCTTATGTAGTCCATAAAATTTTATTTTTTCAGATATCAAGAAGGAATTAACTTCTTTTTTTCAAGGTTGCCCTTGGAGTAAAGAGCCTAGGAGTATTTGTTGTATTTTTAATGAATAAATTAAGGCCAATATGGTCAATTTTATTGTTAATTAATATTAAGAAAATTTCAGCCAAAAAATCAATTAAAATGAAGAGAGAAAATAACTATTTGAGTGTCTGCAGGCAAAATTTTGACCATTTTCAACAGTAAAATAAAAAGCGTATTCTTTTAGAACAACAAAGTAGACTACAAATATTATAATTTATTAAAAGAATACAAGAAGATGAAGGGCTCTAGATATACGAAATTATTAACTAGATAAGTTCTACTTTAAAATACAAGACTTTGGATTTGAGATGGAAAAAGTAGTATATATAAAGGTTTTTGCTTCTTCTTTTTTTTCTCCCATGCGAAGTAGTACTAAAGTTTAGTTTTGGCGTGATTTACCTTTTAATATTAGAACGGCATTTGATTAGTACTTGCTTTTCTGTTACTAATAATAATTATTTTTATTGATTGTGACATGTCAAAGGTTGAGGGAGTAAAGCACTCAGGACCAACCACAATGGTTCTCTACTTCACTGGTGCAACAAACATTCTTTATACCTTTGGTGGTCACGCTGTCACAGTGTGAGGATTTAATATTTTATATATTGATATATTGATTCTATACATGTTATACTTTCCTTTTTAGTCCCTCCAAATAAAATATTTTATTTTTTATTTAGAATTAATTCAACTTTAAATTTCTCATTTTCCCTTAATAAGATGATCGTAACCACCCAAATTTTTGTGACTTGATTTAGATTATAAGTTTCTTAATAAATTTCGTGCCCGGTTAAACACTGTCACATATATTAAGACGAAGGGGAGAATATGTTTTGCAATTTACAAGTGGATAAGTATTTGAATATATCCATGTGTACCCTCTAACACTCTTTTGTTTGTCTCAGTAAAGACATAACACATGCTTATAATTATTTAGCTAGATATCCCTTTCCCAGTAATGGGAACATGCTTCCTGAATACCTGGCGCCTGTGCTTTTCTTATCCTACCTATATATGTTTATTCTTTAACTCTTGAGGAGATCCAAATTTTTAATAAACAAAAATCATGAAACAAATATATTTTCCCCCAACCTAATTCAGTATATATACTAGAGAAACCGCTTACTAGGGAACTAATATAATGCAAAGAAAATTTAAATATATTACATGGGAAAAATTACTATGCTATTTCTTCATAATTGGTTATGTGGGCTCAAAATCTTCAGAAGATCACAAGCAATTTGGCTGGAGCAGATGAGAATCCATGGAATTTGATAATCAGACGTTGCATTCCAATTTTTCAAAAATATATAACAGAATCAGAAAATTACAGAAAGAATCGAAAAATGAAGTCTTTATTTTTACGTATGTAGGAGAAGGTATCACATATAGTCATACCTCTCTATAACATCATCCTCATATAACAACACTTCACTATAAAAACCAAGTTTTTCCGGAACCAAATTTGATTTTCTTTTATAATACATATGTTTTCTAGAACAACAATTCCTATAACATCCAAAAATATCTGGAACAAATGAGGCTGTTATAGAGAGATTTGACTATATATAGGGGCGGGACGGCAGGACACATCTCATTATTTTCTTATCTCCTCTTGTGTTTATTTGGTGTTTTTATTATAATTAGTAGTTTATTACTTACCTTTTTTGTGTGAATATATATAGGGAGATAATGCATGCAATGTGGAAGCCACAGAAGTTCAAGCTTATATATTTGATGGCAACAATTTATGTGCTAACACTGACACTGCCATCAGCAAGTGCCGTCTATTGGGCTTTTGGAGATGCGCTTCTCACCCACTCCAATGCTTTGGCTTTGTTACCAAGGACTAGATTTCGAGACGCTGCTGTAGTTCTCATGCTTATTCATCAGGTCAATACAATTTTCATTCTCTTTTTTCTGATTAGTTAATATTAATTAATGCTGAATGTGTGTGTGCGCGCGCATGCAGTTTATTACATTTGGATTTGCATGTACCCCTTTGTACTTTGTGTGGGAGAAATTCATCAGAGTTCATGACACAAAGAGCTTGTTCAAGAGAGCAATGGCAAGACTCCCTGTGGTTATTCCAATATGGTTCTTGGCTATTGTTTTCCCCTTCTTTGGTCCCATTAATTCCACTGTTGGATCTCTTCTTGTTAGCTTCACTGTCTACATTATTCCTGCCTTGGCACACATGGTTACTTTTGCTTCTCCATCGGCTAGAGAGGTACAAAAATCACAAACAAATATACTCTTTCTCTTTCAATTATGTTTTCATTCACATTAATTATTTGGATTTTCTTTTTTTTTTCTTGGTTGACAGAATGCTGTGGAGCAACCACCATCATTCTTGGGAAGATGGGTTGGATTGTATTGTACCAACATATTTGTGGTGGCATGGGTCTTCATTGTTGGTTTTGGATTTGGAGGGTGGGCAAGCATGGTCAATTTTGTACATCAAATTAACACTTTTGGCCTCTTCACTAAGTGTTATCAATGCCCTCCCCATAAGGCTTGAGTAGGATAATATATTACTAGTATTAAACTAAGGAAGTAAAACTACAAATACATATCATGACGTGTGTAAAAAGATTTAGCAGTTTCCAACCACTTTCCCACCCCCCCCCCCACCAACCCCCCACTTTAATTATCATTTTATTTTCTTGTAAGAGTCCTTTTAATAACTTGAGTGCTAGTGGCTTTTCTTTTTTTTCTGTTTTTATTTTCTTCTAAAAAAATTGTAATGGCCTTTCGTTTTTTTGGGGCTTTATGTGATGTGGATGATTGGTAATATACACTACTTTTCGTTGCTCCTTTGCTATTTATTTACAGTGGTCACATTCAGTACCCTCTCTGTCAAAAGGCTAAATGGAAGGACATTTTGAACTTTTCTAGAGCGGTCGTTTGGTGATGAGTAGGGTGTACAAAGGAAACCGACAAATCGCACTAACCCGGTAATTCGAGTCAAACCGAGAAAAAAAACTCGACTATGGTTTGATTTGATTTGGTTTGGTGTTGGAAAAAAAAATCCGACCATAATTGGTTTGGTGTGGTTTTAACTAAAGAAAGTCAAACCGAAACCAAACCAACCCGACATTACAAATATAAATTCTTTAGATATATTTAATATATAAATATACTTATTGTGATGTAATTTATAAATATTTCTTAAAAATTTTTATAGTTTATTTTTTAAGGTATTATTATTTCAAGACTGGACTTAGAACTTTTGAATATTCCAATAAGTTTTATAGCCATTAATAGTAGTAACTTAAATAATGCTAACAAAAGCCCAAACCAAAATCAAATCAATATTAATGCTAACAAAAGACATTCAATTCAATACTAGGAACGACAATGTATTGAATATCTATTTTTTGTTTTGCAATGATTTAGATAAAAATGCATAACCTATTTTTATTTTTTCTATAGCGTTTAGTCATGTAATTAATACTCCCTTATTAGTCTACTTATTTTAGCATGACTTGGTAATCTTAGATTATATTTAGGCGAAATGGCCTCCTAGCCACTTAAACTTGTAGCCGTTTGTAAAGCCGATACATAAACTTACAATTTTCCCATTTGAGCACCTTAACTCATATATTTGCACAATAATAAACACATATGATTGTGCGTGGTCCGCAAGCGCTACGACACAAATGACATGTCACATACTTATCCTCTTATTAATCGCCATGTGTAATTTATGGGTCCCATTAAAGCTTTAAACAAAAACTCTAGGAACAGAAATTATATATAGTCCTACCATTAAAGCTTTAAACAAAAACTCTAGGAACAAATTCCACAGGCTTGCAATCAACTTCTCTCAACACAGTTTGAATCCCTTTGCTTCCTGCATTTGCAAGTGGATGTATTCCATGAGCTAACCCTTCCATATTTGCCCTCTTCTCTCTTTCTTCAGCAAATGATACTCCGTAACGTTTCTCCATATCTGTACATGCATGAGATTCTTCAGCAAATGATTTTCTGGAAGTGAATATCGGAAAAATGGAGCAGTAAATCAGCAAATGCATGGACGACACTGAGCCACCTGAGTAAAAATGGTGGATTTAAAAGACCCGCAAAATTACTCCGCCGAGATTTGCTGCCGGAAAAAATGGCAACCACACGAAGAATCACCCTAAACCGTCACTGCTTCACCTTTTTGCCACCTGCCTGCCACCTTTCTTACCACTTTATCTTCGTCACCTCCTTTTCAACAAGCCTACTAAAAATAGACCAAACAAATCTGAAACGCCATTATTTCACTACTCTTTGCCACCAAAATTTAAAGAAGAAGAAGAAGAGACGAGCAATAACCAATTCGATATAATTTTCTGGTTGTGGAGGAGTTTGAGGGTGTGAGAAAACAGAAGGGAGGGAGGGGAGAGGAAGCAGGGAACGATTTTATCTGTTCTTTATTTTCTGTTCTTTATTTTTTTCCCATGATTTTATTTTTCTTTTTTTATTTTATAATTTTTAAATCAAATTAATTCATTCACGCGCCTAATTAACGTGTTTCATATGCATTTTGGCCACGTCAACTATATAGTCGCCATGTAAGCATAGTCAACGGTCAAACGTGTTTATTAGTACTCATTCTGTCAAGTTGGAGTGTTCAAATGGGAAAACTGTAAGTTTATATATCGGCTTTACAAACGGGTACAAGTTTAAGTGGCCAGGATGCCATTTCGCCTTATATTTATTTTTGTTATGAATTTTTAATTAGCAATATTTATATTACATAATTTTATTGTCTTTATTGTTGAATATTTTAGGATAATGCCATGACACATCTCATATTTTGTATTATTTTCTTGAAAAATACCTTATATAGTTGTATCTTACTAGGATTAAAGAAATATTTTGAGCACAAGTTATATGTTTTGTGCTACGAAGATTTTTATCGGAAAAAAAAAACACCGAAAAAACCCGAATAACCCAAAAATCCAAGAAAAACCGAGATTGAAAAACCCGAGTTTTATTGGTTTGGTTTGGTCTTTAGATTTAATAATTCGGCACAATTGGTTTGGTTTGATAATTGCAAAACCCGAACCAATCCGACCTATGTACACTACTAGAATTCCGAAAAAAAGCGACCAAACTTTAGCGACCAAAGTTGGTCTGTGAAGAAAAGCGACCAACGTTGGTCTCTAAATTGGAGAAAATAATAAAATAATTATTTTAAATACATTAGCGACCAAAGTTGGTCGCTATTTGGTTAATAATTTCGTCAAAATGTTGACCGGACTGGTCAGACTTGCTTGGTCTAAGAAATACTGAGATTAGCGACCAACGTTGGTCGCTATAGTGGGACCCACTTATTAAATTTTAATAATTATATTATTATTTAAAAAAATTATAAAATATAAATAAATATAATTCAAAGTTAGCGACCAAAGTTGGTCGCTTATAAAATAGAGACCAACTTTGGTCGCTAATATGGGACCCGTTTAACAATTATATTATTATTTTAAATATTATATAAAATATAAATAAATCTGATTTAAATTTAGCGACCAGCTTTGGTCGCTAATTTAAATTTAAGTATAATTAGCGACCAAAGTTTGTCTCTTTTCAGGTCAACAATGGTCAAAATTAAAAATCACTTTTGTATTTACTATCTAAATAATATAAATGTAAGCCGTTAAGACTTTTGTAACACAAGAGATGAATAGACTAAAATATACTCTAACATGCTATGCACTAAGTATAAGCGTATTAGGTAATATTATATCAATATAGCTTATATATATGTACAATATATATACTTACGCTGTACTATGCACTAAGTATAAGCGTATTAGGTAATATTATATCGAATATGGCATATATATATGTAATATATATAGTTACGCTGTACTATGCACTAAGTATAAGCGTATTAGGTAATATTATATCGAATATGGCTTATATATATGTAATATATATACTTACGCTGTACTATGCACTAAGTATAAGCGTATTAGGTAATATTATATCAATATAGCTTTATATATATATATATATATATATATATATATATGTATAATATATATACTTACGCTGTACTATGCACTAAGTATAAGCGTATTAGGTAATATTATATCAATATAGCTTATATATATATATGTATAATATATATACTTACGCTGTACTATGCACTAAGTATAAGCGTATTAGGTAATATTATATCAATATAGCTTATATATATATGTATAATATATATACTTACGCTGTATTATGCACTAAGTATAAGCGTATTAGGTAATATTATATCAATATAGCTTATATATACATATGTATAATATATATAGTTACGCTGTACTATGCACTAAGTATAAGCGTATTAGGTAATATTATATCGAATATGGCTTATATATATGTAATATATATACTTACGCTGTACTATGCACTAAGTATAAGCGTATTAGGTAATATTATATCAATATAGCTTTTATATATATATATATATATATATATATATATATATATATATGTATAATATATATAGTTACGCTGTACTATGCACTAAGTATAAGCGTATTAGGTAATATTATATCGAATATGGCTTATATATATGGCTTATATATATGTAATATATATATATATATATATATATATATATATATATATATATAATATTAAATTGAGTTAAAAGTAATTTTTTTTTTTTAGATATAGCGACCAATGTTGGTCGCTATTATGGTTAAACGGTCTGTCACGACCCGGATTTTCCACCCTCGGGAGTCGTGATGGCGCCTACTAATGGGAGCTAGGCAAGCCAATTTAATCTACCTTTTTGCAACAATTACCAACCATTTAATAAAATCAAACATAATGACATAAAGCGGAAGTCTTAAAAACATAGATAAGTGA